TTTGGTTTAGTAGTATAGATGATGAGGATTCTTGGATTATCTCCAAAAGATTAGGAAATCTTAGATGGTCATCTTAATATTTGGAAGCATTTTATTTTGCAATAGTTACAATGTTAACAATTGGATATGGAGACAATGTTCCTTAAAATTAAATAGAGAAAATTGTAACTATAATTTTTATTTTGTGTGCTTGTTTATGGTTTTCTTATAGTGTTAATTTTATTGGAGGCATAATTGATGATATTACTTAAAATTAAGTAGAGAGAAACAAAAAGATGAGAGTGATAAATAAATATATGAGAGAACGTGAGATTCCTTTTGCTTTATAATATTAGTATATGAAATCATTAATTAATTTATAGAATAAAAGAATACTTGACATATAGATGGAAAGAAGATGATGAAGTAGATTTGGAAATGGAATAAACATTACTGGGCTAATTGTCAGATGAATTAAAAGAAGAATTAGATAAATAAGCATATAAAATATTTATATTGAAATGTGAATTTTTATAGAAATATTTTAGTGCAGAATTTCGTAATGCTCTTTTTAAATCAATCAAAAGAAAAATTATACCACCTTAAAATACATTTTCTATTGAATTTAATGGAGAATATAATTTATGTTATATTGAATAAGGAATACTATTATATTAACATTAAGATGGAAAATAAAGATCTAAAATTAATTCTCATATAAGTCATGGAAGATTTATATGTGTAAAAGAGTTTTTATTACATAGTTAAGATAGAGAATTATTTAAAGCTGCTGGATATGTTAGTTTATTAATGTTATCAAAATCAGATTTTTTGGAAACTTTGAAAGATTTTCCAGAAGATTTCTAAAAATACTGTTAATTAAGAGATTAATTAATTCTCAATTTAGATTAATAACTTATAAAAGAAGGTTAATTTTGTCCTGTTTGTAATAAAATTGATCATCAATTAAATTAATGTCCTTAAGTGTAATTGATTCCAAATAAAGAATTAGTACTTAAAAGACATGCTTATAATATAATATAAGAGAGAAGATATCATAAACGAAGAATTATTGAGAAACCAATAATGACAAGAGCAGAAATGTTATTTGTTTAAGAATGTGCTAGGATATTTGCTTTAGATAATCCTTAACTTATATAAAATTAATAAAAATGTCAACATATTATCGAATAAGAACCTGAACCAAATATAATTTTATTAGGCAATGAAGATTAATATCCTTCTGTCAAAGTATTTCCTGTATCTGAAGAATTTCTTGTTACTTCTAGTCATCAGAGAGCAGTGAAATGCATTGATTTAGAAGTTTAATCTGATGTTAGAATAGAAAAATAAAGTAAATTTACTTAAAAATATAATTAAAAAAGAATATATAAAGTAGGATCTATTTATGATCATAAATTTTTAAGATAGAATACAAAGAGTCCATCTTTATTATCTAATTTAAATGAACCATCAATTGAATCTTATCCAAATGAGGCAATTACCAATAATGAAGTTGATGAATATAGAAATCAAATTAAGGAGTTTGAATAAATGCATACAGAAAACATTAAAATAATTTATAATTAGATGTAAAAGTTTATTGATGATCCATAACTTGTTAAACAAATAAAGGAAATCACATATCTTTATATTCAATTATATAATTAATCTGAATAAAATTTAGATTAAATTTATAACTATGATTATTATTTTCCTTCACATAATATCACTTAAATAATAGAATAGATAAATAAAAATAAATAAAGTTGGCAACAATTAATTTTAAATAGATTTTAATTGTATATGTTTTATCCATTTTAATTTATACTTAAATTTTTGAAATATAAAAGAACTAAAGCTTATGTTTCAATAATAAACAAATTTGAAACCATATAAAGAGTTAGACATAAAATGATGCTTTTAAGAGTAACTAAAAGTCAACTTAAAAGAAATAAAGTACTCCCAGAAGTATAAATAAAAAATAATAAATTGTAAAAAAAATAATGATATTTTTATTTCGTATTTTATTAAAATGTTTGTTGATTATTTTTAATAATCAAATAAAATAAAATATATAAGTAGAAATACAATATAATTAAAGAAATAATAATTGTTTTATTTTTATATACTAAATAAATATGATCATTTAAAAACTATCTTAAATTCAAATTTAACTTAGTAACTTAAACTTTTTTCTTTTCAATCAAATTGTCTTATAACCAAATAACGTTATAATAAAAAATTATTATAAAGATGTCTTTTCTTATATTTAAGGAATTTTTATAGATTTTTTATATGTTATTAAGAAATAAAATATTTTAATTGTTGGTTTCAGTATGATTAGTATTAAATAAAAGAATAACAATTATTTTTATTTAAGATGAAATTTTGTGAAATAATATTTCTTTCTTTTTTTATGTATGGTGATTTAATATAAATGATATTTTGATTTAAATGAGTATGTGATTATAAAAGAGATTGAGATTAGAAACCTATAATTAATCATTAAAAAAATTATTAAGCAAATTAAAAAATAATATAGAAAGAATGACTAGTAATGATATTCAATAAGCACTTAAAAAATATTAGCCATAATTAGATTAGGATTACTAATAAAAATTACAAATTGCTAAATATACAAATTTGTCTGATATTGAAAAAAGCAATTTTCTATTAAATTTAGGTATGTTTAGATTTAGCATATAGGTTTTGGATAATAAAATGTTTTCTTTTTATTTGATGGAAATATATAACATAACTTTGATAATGATAAGATGATATATCACACAATAAATAGTTTAGATAAAATAATAGATCAAAAGTATTTTATGATAATATTATATTAGTACTTACACTATTGTATATATAGTGGCAGATCATGATGGATCAAAATAAATGAAAAGATTTAGAAAGATGTTAAAGTAGCTTCCCAGCAAATATTTCATTTAATTATAAGGGTTTTATGTATAACATGCAAATTTTACATTAAGAACAAAACTTGTATTTTTAAAATCAAAGAGAGAGAGAGTATGGTACAAGAAGATTAAATTTATTGATGAGTATGCTTAAACTTATTTTAAGAGTAGAGGATCTATTAAAGATACCAAATTTTTAAGCTAGTTGGTTGAATACATTTCCTAAATAAATTTTGACTTTTGAAAAAATAGATTAAACTCAATAAATTAAATAATCATAAAGTTCTTTTGGTTCACATTTAAATAACTAAAAGTTAAATCAATTTTAAATTCCAATAGTAATAGATTATTTACTATCTTATTTTGCTATAAATACAGATAGATTTTTAACACCAGATATATTTAGATAATAAGGTTCAATTAATGATGAAGAATAATTATAATAAATGTTGATTAATGAGAATTATGAATGTTTGAAAACTATAGAAGATGTGAGAATTGTTTGTAGTCTTATAAAGAAGTTTTTTTTAGAATTACCTGATCCATTAATACCTGATCAAATTTTCAAATAAATCTGTATTAAAATAGAATGTAAGTTATTATTTTTAAATAATTAGAAATAACTCCTTAAACAGAAATTGAATTCTTATAAGAAATATTTGAATAATTACCTAATTTAAATTAAAAATTGTTGATTGCTATGGTCAACTTTCTATTTTCTGTTGGAAGTTATTCTGAATTTAATCGTATGAATATGAATAATTTGGCTATTATATTTGCACCTTGCTTTATGAGAGCTTAAATAGATTAGAGTTAATAAAATGAAAAGATTGCATATTAATTGAAATTCCTAAAGACTTTATTTGAAAATTTTCACAAAATACACCCACAGATTTCATTTAAATTATATTTGTAATATACATAAAGTTTATCTTGTTCATCAAACTTAAATAATAGTTCAACCGGTAAAGAAAGCAATATAAAGAAAAATCAAAAACTATCTTCATTAGAAGATGAATATCTTGGTCAATTTTAATAAAAGTAGAAATGATTTTATAATAAACAACATAATACAAAATTTTTTTTAAATTCAATTTTATTAATTTTTTCTAAAACTAAAATAAATTTAATTAAATATTAAAAAAAGTTTAGGTCATACCAGGACTCGAACCTGGGTCACTGGATTCAAAGTCCAAGGTGCTAACCACTACACCATACGACCTAAGCTGATTAATAAATATTAAGAATATTTATAATATGTATTCATATAAATTAATAATACATCTAGCCGCGCTTTAAATAAATTATTTAAATCAAAATGATCTATGTGAAGAGATTAATCGAAAAAGCAATCATACCTAAAAAGGGATCCCTCAAGGCTGCTGGTTATGATCTATTTAGTGCTGAGGATACAATTGTACCAGCAAAAGGAAAATAAGTAATCAAAACAGGCATCTCAATGGCATTATTAGAAGGTACTTATGGTAGAATAGGTATGTAAATATGTATATGATTAAAGCTCCTCGTTCTGGTTTGGCAGCCAAAAATTTTATAGATGTTGGTGCTGGTGTTATTGATGAAGATTACAGAGGAGAAATATGTGTGTTATTATTTAATTTTGGAGATAACGATTTCAAAGTAAATTATGGTGATAGAATTGCTTAAATGATTATTGAATATGTTGTACAAACTGAAATTTAAGAAACTGAAAATTTGAGTGAAACTCAAAGAGGAGAAGGAGGGTTTGGATCAACTGGTGTCAAATTAATTTAAAATACTAATAATTAATCTCAATAATTAAAGTAGAAATTATAAAATCTTCAATAATTGAATAATGATTAACCAGAACCTTGGTAAGAATTGACTATTTTGGATTTATATAGTTTATTTTCTAATGGACATATTAATAGTAAATAAAAATAATAATTGGGAGAAATTACAATGAAAGGAGATAAAAAGGTGTATGAATTATTTAAAAAGAATGAGGGAAAGAACGAATAAATAATAATTTAATAGTTACTTAATTTAATTGAAGAATGATACATATAAATATAGTTAAATTATATTCATATTTTAAAATTATCATATATAAAGGTTTCAAATTCATTATTTTATTGTTGATGATTCAATACCATAAATTTTAAGAGTTTTAATTTTGCTTCTTTTTCCTCTAATTATGTACATATTTAATTATAGATTTGAAATATCCTACTTCAGTGCTTAATTCTATATTTTTAAATCATTAATTTAAAAATCCTAAGAATTTTATTATATTTTGTACCTTAACCTCTTATTCTAAATTACTGATAGATTTTGTAATATAATTTTATTTTTAGATAAATTAATAATAGTAGTTGGTATAGAGAGAGATGAATTAATGGATGATCTTAATTTTTATTTTGATTTCAATTTAATTGAAATTATTTTAGAGATATTTGTCTTATTGTATTTCCAATTCTATATTGATTGATTATATTGATGATTTGATAATGTCTTGTACATTAAATTTAATTTAATCATCATCAATCTAACATCCTTCATCTTATGTGAGATATTCTGGTTTAATTTAATCTTGAGATAAACTTTGTCTAAACATTAACTACTAATATATTTTGAGAGGTTCTTTAGATGTATATGTAATGGTTTCTAATTTTGAGAATATATTATTCCAAAGTGTACGTATATTACAATATTAATGAATTTATTGAAGTTCTTATTGTAATAATTAAACTTGTTGTTTTAACATTTATATTTCGATAGTCTCTTAAGGCATAATTTCTATATTCTATTCGTTAAAAATAATTATAAAAAATGTCATTATTCATATACATCAGAAATGGATTATAAAATTGATATATATAAAGAATGATCATTTTTATTTAAGTATTTTCATTCAATTTATATTTTATAACAATAATTTGTCAATATTATTTATTAAATGATATTAGGTACAGAAGTAAATGAGTTTGTTACAAATCGTTAATAGTCTAAAATACACTATTTATCTTAAGAGAATAAACTTCTATAAGAATATATTGCTGATTTAGAGAATGCATTAAAATTAAATAAATAGGCTATGTCATTAGCATTGGATAACAAGAGGCCTCTTGTAATTATTTAAATTTAATTTCATTAAAGCAAACAAAAGATGGAAGTACTTCATTAAGTGAGTAATATTAAAATCCAGAATTGTTCAAACATTTAAATGAGGAGAATAAGAAATTAATGGAAGCCTTAACAAAACAATAGAAAGTGAGTAGTTAACTACAAACTAAAATACTATTATAGGAATAAATAGCCGAAGAACAAACAAATTATTATAAAGATTTGATTAGTGATTTAGAATATAAGTTAATTGAATTGAAACGTAATATTCATGATAAAGAATATGCAATATAAGAGTTAGAACGAATGAAGCCAATTTAAGAGAAGGAAGGCTAATTAGTTAAATTAATAGAAGTAGTGACACCTTCAGAATAGAATTTAAAATTACATGAAGAATTAGAAAATGTGAGAGGAGTATTACAGAAAATTACAAATGAAGCACAGAGTGTTTCAGAAAGTAATAATGCTTTAAGAGAAGTAAATTATCATTTGAAAAGAGAAATATTCAAAATGAGAATAGTACTGAGAAGTTAAGTGAATTATTAAAATATGAAGGGTATTAAATCTTCATATTTTAGATTTTGTGTATAATGAATATCTTGAGAAAACAGATAACAATCTTGAATTGAATAGAGAAGTATAAAATCATAGAGGTAAACTAGAACAAATGCATTAAGATTTATATGGTACAACTAGTTTAGGCTATGGGTTTTCTCCAGAGCCATAATAATTGAAATATTTGAGTAAAAATGAAAGGATGATTTATTAAGAGAAATTACATAAAATGGAAATGATGGTTAAAGGATTTAAAGAATTATTTGAAAAAGAAAAAAATAGCAATTTAAATATTAGCAAATTGTATAATGAATTAGTTAAGAAATATGAATAAATTTAAAATATCAATGAATTATTAATACGTTCAAATTAATTAAAAGATTAAAAGAATGATTAATTAATGGCAGAATTACAATTTTACAAAAAATAAAATTAAAATTATATGGAATAACTCAAAACTAGAAAATAATTCAACTCTATATAATTAAATTAAGAATAAGATATAGCTGTTGGAATATTTAGTCCCAGATTCAATTAAAATAATGAACGAGTTAATACTTAACCATCATATTTTGTAAGATAATCTTAATAATTATCAAATGCTGATGTTAAATTTGATGACACAGAACCAAAAGAAGATATTTCACTTTAGTTAAGTAATTCTAATTAAAAAATTCAAAATAATAAACTAAATTAATAAATTGTTCCTTAAATCAAAATGAAGAAACTTTAATTAAAATAATTAGAGATTAATACTAATGATAACTTTGAATAAGCACCTTATTGTTAAACAGCAAGAGCTGATTCTAAACCAATTACAAAAAATAAAATGTAACCATTAAAAATTTAATACTATGATATGACTAGGGAAGAATGTGTTAAATTTATTATGTCAATGTCAAGTGAATTCTTTTAGCATTTCGACGTATGATATTATCTAATCTTTAGATAAGTAATATAAAGAAAAAATAGTTAATTAAATAAATGTAAGATCCATTGTCATAAATCAAAAAGATAAAAAGATCTTATAGTAATCCATTTTCTTACTTTTCAAATGAAACTCAAGTGGCCTTTTCGAAACCACCTTAAAAATCTGTTGTAGCTATAGTAATTAATTTATTATAACAAATATCTAGACTAAAAATGAAATTTAATAATTATTAGTAGAATTAACAAGTAAAAAGAAGTAGCAATCTGAGTAATTTGATTTATTTAGTGTTGATGTCTCTTATATTGATGGTAATAAGAACAAGAAATAAATGCTTGATTAAGATATTAGTTTTATTTCAAATATCGATTAACAAGATTGAGCATCTTAGTTTCTTTGTTTATGTGAATAAAAATCATTTTAATATAAATTATATATTTTATCAATATAATGATAGAGCAATTATTACAAATAAAAGAAATCAAAAAAACAGTAATTCTAGTTAAATAGAAATATTAATATCATAATTATATTTATCTATTGATATTCTCAAACCTTATATAATTATATTTAGAATCAACATAAATTATGAATTGATATATTTAATATTAATTAAAATATATTTAAGGTACATATTTTAAATTTCTCTTTTCATTCATAAATCTAATTAGATGGTATAATAATTGATGTGTATTTAGATTATTTAAAATATAAACAATAAATTGTTAAATTAATAATAAGAAAAAGAGAATCAAATATATTACATTATAACTTCACTTCAACATTATATAGTTATATATCATTGCATATATTATGATTTCCCAACAAAATTGATATGCTTCTATTAATTATTAGAAGTATTTGAGAATTCATCTAACAATTTTAATATCTTTTATATATTTTTTATTATAATTTAAAATTGGGGGTTCTGGAGAGACTGATAAATATCCTAGAATTTTGTAATATTTCACAAAGGATAGCTTATTTGCAATAAGTTAAACATTATAATAGGGTATATAGACATATAGATGTGTTAGATTAACATTTGACTTTTTAACTATTAAATTTACTATATATTGATAAAAAGGTTTAATGTTATTATTAAATCATTAAATTACTCTAAAATAAAACTTTAGTTTGAATATATGAAGATATTCTAAAATTGTCAACTAATTATATACAATTTTGAAGAAATTTAATTAGATTTAGATATTAATTTTTCTGATGTATTATATTGGGATATCTTATATTTAGTATCATTTACTTAATTACTATAAGTGTATCATTTCAGAATATGAAAAATATTAAGTCAGTATCTTTTTATTTTTATATTCAAAAAGAAAGTATTGACAGAAAAATTATAATAAAAGGATCTTTAAGGCCCATTTTATAATGCACTTTTATAATGTACAATTATACGTGAAATTAAATCTTTTTAAATGAGTCTAAGTATTTTTAGTGCTAAGACAAGTTACTATAAGAATGGTATCTGGTGGTTTACTAAAATGGCTGCTAGAGTAGTAGGGGAAGAGAGATGGGATTCAATGAGAATGGCTAGAAGAATCTATGGCAATAAATTTTACTATGCAAGATAATAAGTCTTGTTTGATATCTTTTATGATTGGCCAGCCTTTGCCAATATGATTGGTATATATCCTAAAGTATAAAAATGTCTTATATAAATAGATTGATACTTCACATGGATTCCTTCATTGGTCAACTTACGAAGCCTATAGAGATTGGTAAGAACATACATTGAATTCAGATGTAAAATTTAACTCTTATATATAGGGTGCCTTTGCTATGTGGATTTACTTAATGTGTGGAATTTACATTGGTCATTTTGTGTATTCATATATGGTTCCTTATTATTGGACGTATCTTGTTTTTACTATAAAATAGTAATATGTTCCCTGCAAAAAATGAGGAATTTGTAAGATTGAGAATGAAGGATGCCATAGCTTCAACTGTTCAAGAAGAATTGTTTGGAAATCAATTTGCAGAATTTGGTTGGGCTCCTCATGATTTTCATTATAATAGACGAAGATGCATGGCAGGTTACAGTCATCCAGATGATCCTCGTACTATGCATATGGGCAGTTTTAATAGTAATTCATTTTTGAATATTCTATAGGAAAACATAAGTATAAGGAACACTATATTAAGAAAGTAGGATAACAAAGTAGAATGGCTGATTTATGAAAAGACAAATAAGAAGACATTAATATAATTTTTTCTTAGTTTAGTTAAAAATGTTAAACATCTTGTTTAAATAGGATTCTATTTTTTCTAATTTATAAGTAACAATATTTTTGATTCTGCTGAAGTTCTTTTAGAATTATAATTAAATAAAAGCAAGAAATTATAAATTGCCACGTTATGGAAATTGCAAATTCCTAATACAGAGATATCACTCAATAATTTCTATCTAAAGTACATATTAAACTTGTTGCAATCAAAAGGGAATAGCCAAATTGTATTAAGGATCATATTTTAATTAGAATTTTTACTCACAGCCAAAATAGCCAAAGAGAAAATTGATACAGCCAATCAAAGACTTTAGGAATTTCATACTAGTATATCTTTTAATTTTATTCTTTAAGCATCTTAATCTACAGGACTTTTTAATGACTAAGATTATAAATTGAATTCTATACTCTCTTAAGTCAAAGACGATATTAGTTAAATACATATTCATCTTAATTAACTAAAAACTTAATTGAATAATGATTTAAATTAATCAATTTTTGATTTTGTTTAGCAAAAAGCAATGAAAACATCTGATTCATTTAAAAAAGTACATGATTTCAAGATTTAATATATAGTTGGTATAGAGCCATACTTAAAGAATTAAATAATAGGAAGAAAAAAGGAATAGATTAAATGGAGAAAGGGATAGAGTAATCAAGAGAGTAGGATTTAATTAGAAATATTAAAAATTGAATGAAAATGAAGAAGAGACTGATCATTAAACAATTTAAATGTTTGATTAAAAGTAGAATGAGGAAAAATTGGTTTCTATGCAAAAGATTGAGTCTATGTTAAATGATATTGCTGGAGTATTCTAAAGAGTAGGAACTATGGTGAGATTATAAGAAACTATGATTGAAAGAATTGATAAATATACAGATGAGGCATAAGTTAATATTAGTAAGGGACGTAAAGAATTATAGGAATCACATAAAAGAATAAGTTCTAATAGAGGTTTAATATTAAAAGTCTTTTTAATTTTGTTTATTTTTGCTTTTATCTACATAGTATTTATTTTGTGAACTAAATACAATAAAATTGAGTATACTAAAATTTAATTATATTATTAAATCAAACTATTTTAATTGATAAGATTTTTATTATTATTTTAGAAATAAGAAATAAATATAAATAATTGATAAGTTTTAAATATAGATATTTATATTAAAAGAAGTATGAGTTATATGTAATTTTATAATAGGTATGCTTTTAATATTTATTTATATAATTTTTATACTCTTTTTTGTTTTTAATTTAAAATAAAGATTTAAATTATTTATCATAATGGCAGAGGTCGAACAATTATCAGAAGAACTCACTACTTTAAAGAGAGTCGTTTAAACATCATTACATAGAGGTTAATTATCAAAGGGAGTGCATGAAGTATGCAAAGCTATTGAAAGCAAATAAGTTTGAATTATCATATTATGCATTATAGGCTAAGTTTGTAGTTTTGGCTGATGATTGCTCTGAAGAATCCTATAAAAAATTAGTAGTTGCTTTGGCTAAATAATTCTAAATTCCTGTTTGGAAAGTAGAAAAAGGAGCTTTATTAGGTGAATGGATTGGAATTTCTAAGTTTTTAACAAAAACAAAGAAAATCAAATCAAGAAAATGTTCATCTGTTGCAGTTAGAGATTTTGCAATTGAAGTAAGTGAAGCTGAAAAACAATTTGTAGAAGATAAAATCAAAGGATTATGAAAATATTTATCTGTACAACATATAAAAAGTATAATAATGGATAATTACATTAAAAATACATCTTTATAACTTAATAAATAACTTCATTAATATAATAAAACATACTCTATATTATTTATGTTTATTAATGAATAATATTTTCAGAATAAAACACCTTTCTCTTAGATATTAAGTGGTCTAGCTGAATTTGGATTTGTATATCTTCTAATGAAATCTTACAAAATCAATTCAGAATCTTTAAAATCTGTTGCAGCATGATCATTAGCTTATCTATGAACTCTGCATAAGGTTTCTTTATAATCTTCATACCACCAGACAAATCTCTTAATATCTATAGATTAATCTAATATATTGATATACCTTCATGTTCTAATAAAAATTCATTTTCCTTTACTAATTCCTAAGCTCTTAATTATACATATTCATCAAACAAATTCACTTTTGTTAATTCAGATTTATATTCAAAGTATATTTTTCCAAATATCACACATTAAACCACTGGAAATAAGTATCTAAATGTTCTAAATCTTATGTTTTATGTAATAACATTGTAATTATAGGCATAAAGGAACTATTATAATATAAATTAGATGTTTATACTAAATTAATTCCAAAAGCTACAGCCTAATAGCCAAACTTATTATATTCAATCACTGGATAGGTCATATCATCTTCCCATTCAGCTAAAGGAGAAATAACACTATAAATGTACGATCTTAAGAACTCAAGCAAAATGCATTGAATGGAATTTTAGGCTAAGTCCAACCAGCAGTTTCTATCAACTCAACCATCTTCTTAATTGATCTATATCTCTTCAAACGAGCTTCTCTGTAATAATATTTATCATTTCAAACCTAAAGGGAGGAAGATTTTAGTTTCTTAATCCAAGTAAACTGATGATTGTGAAATAATTATCCATTTAATTAATTATTGAAAATTAAGATAAAATTAATGTATTAATGCAATTATTATCAAAATATATTCCAATAAATCAATTTACAACCTTATAAGAAATATATACATAAATTAATTTAATTGCTAAATGAATATTATTTATATATTTATATTAGCTATTCTTGGCTATCATTATTTTCATTACTTTCACCTCTATAATTATGAAATAATCTTAATAGGTAAGATTTTATACATTAATACTAAAATAAAAAATTAGAAATTCCTACCTTAATTAATACATAGTTTTACCATATGTTTTTCAGCTGATTTATTATTCAGATCAATTATATTAGAATATCAAGATAAAGATTTACCAAAATTAATAAACTCAATTATAGCTCATTTCTTTATTACATTCATCTAATGGAAATTTGATTTTTGTTTTTAATATGACATTTTTTATAATCTAAGCTAAGCAAAAATACTCACTTGGGCATTTAAAAACAAATATCTTTATACAGAAGAAAGGAATGAAATAAAATTATTCATTTAATTATTATTGGCTTCATGTTATTAAAATTTACTACTTGGATCTAATAAAAATGTCATTACTACATTTGTTTCATTGTTATATAATTACTTTTATCAACCATATTTCTTCGAATTTTAACCAAGTAATTATGGTCTTACAGCATACAGAAATAAGCATTATTTATCCTAATTTATTTTTTATAGTATGAAATTATTTTGAAATTTATGTTTATACATTAGATTTATATATATAATTTATAAAAGATTCCCATCTAATCAATTTTGAAATTTTAATTACTTAATGCTATAATTTTTCATAATTTCTAGAAATTTAAAATGAATTATAAATATTTGATTTTTCAGTTTCTGAAGATAATTAATAATAGAAAGCTCTTGAGAATGTTGATTGGTAAATTTAATAAATGATATAAAAAATAAGCGAAATCTTCAAATAAGATTCTGAATTCATACGATTTCTAAAGAAAAGTAGTCTTTCTAAAGACAATTAGGTTTACGAATAAGAAGAAATAGATTTTTTATTATAATACATGACTAAAGAGAAGAATCTTAGAGAGTTTTTTGATTTTTACTCGAACTTCGACATGTAAACTTATAATATTAAAATGAAAATGCTCATTATCACTCATTAGTTTATTCATTCAAATGAAGAATTCTCTAAATAATTTACTTCTTTAAGATTAACAAATTTTTATTTACTCAAACACAGCCATAGAAATTATGAAACATGGTTACTTTTAAATATTTAAATTCCATTTTTGTCCTATTTATAAAAATTAGCCATCAGCTTCAAGGAAATAAAAAGTTACAAAACCAGCATTTTTAGAAAATCAAATTATTAGAAGTATAAATAACTAATAACATTAGTCTAATGATAGATAGTTTTAAGATGGTGAATATTGTCAATATGGCTCTTTCTCTTGTGCCTAATTTGAAAATTGCCCTTTAAAACTATCCATACGATAGATTATTATAAAAGTTAACCTTTAATATTTATTAAGAAATTTAAGGATATTAAAAAAATCTAATAAATTCAATTATTACATTATTGAATGAGAACTCAAAAATTTAAAGTGTCGATTTATATGAGCTCTTAAGAGAAGTAAAAAATTAATGTAAATAATAGTTAAAAGTAATTGAATAGAAAATGATATTATATCATTAATTTCGAAATTAATATGACCAAAAAGAAATTCTTTAATCTCCCTTGCAGATATAAATATATTTTGAGAATTAAAGTAAATCTTCAATTTTTTAAAATAATTGTAAAGCCTAAACTAAAAGAGAATATCGTTAATCATCATCTAGAACAACTAGATAATCAACAGGTGAAGAAGCAACAACACCTAGAAGTTAAAGGTTTTTAAATTATCTTGATCAATAATATTCATCTTGTGCATAACTATTATTAAAAGATAAGGATAAGATTATACAAGAAGAATCAGAAACATAGATAGATTAAACTATATAAGCATGAATATGTTTATTTTATTTTTATAAATCTAAAATTGAATTTAATAATATATAAAAATATAATCAATCTATCAACTTTAGCTAATTTAAATAGATTGCATACTATCTCCAGGATATGGAACAATTGAATTCATCTTTGATTTAGTTAATTTAATATTTTTAGAAGATGATATCAATTTTTTTGAAGATAAATTATTTCTTAATTGAATTAGCCAAATTTTTTTTTGAGCATTTTTGAATTTTGTAGCTGCATTAATAGCAGCAGATTAATATTAAATTCTTTTAAGTTTTAAGAATTTATTTATAAATAAATAAGGATAAAATAAATATTTTGTAAATTTTTATAGAATTTCTTTTTGCCAAGCATGTTAATTTTTATTAGCCATTTCTATTGTATTAATGGAATTTGATTCTGGAAAATAATAATCATAATTAAATAAGGATTCAAAACCTTCAAGAGTAATAGAATTATACTTCCAATAAATATATTAGAGTGAATTTAAAGCTTCATTAATAGTAGTAGATTTATCATCTGATAATCTTTATAATTTAGTATAAAGAGATCTAATATTCTCTTTCATATAAAAGTTAAAGTTGTTAGTATTTTTGATATTATCACTTTCATGAACAATAAATGTAGTTTCATTAACTTCTTCAGCAATTTCATTCATTGAAAATAATATTGAAGGGGATTTAGTATTTTTTCTTTAAAGTTATTTTTAAAATAAAGATCCCTTTCTATTCATTCTTTAACTTTAAGTTAATAATACATTTGTTTTCTAATTTTCATTTTTTTCTTTTTACTTTTCCTCTTCTTATTCTACTTTTGGAAATGTTTTATTTTATATAGGTTTATGAGTACTTTATAACATTTCATTAATTTAAAAGATATTGACAGAAGGAATAGGATCATAAATATTATGTGTTTCTGAATTTCCTTAATAAGATTCTATTTCTTATTCTTATACTATTTACAATTTTAGTTATTCATTAATTAAACCTTGATTTTCTGTTTAAAAGTAGAGTGCACATTCTTAAACATATGTTAATTCTGCTCTAGTTTAAATTGGTTTATCAGAAGTTTTACGTGAATAAACTTCTCTTTATGATTCTTGATTCATTTAATGTTTTTTAATTATAACTTCTTTATTTAGAATCAATTATATTTAACAACAATTCCTTAAAGAATGATCAAAATTATTACAAGCAGGACAGAAACTACTGAATGATATTTAACAACCTTCATTTTCTTATGAATATGAATCTTTTAATTAGCAATATTTTTATAAATCATCTGGAAAATCTTTTAATGTTTCTAAGAAATCTTATTTTGATAATACAAGCAAACTGACATAACTTTAAGCTTTGAAAATTTCATATTCTGGAGTTTGCATAAGAAATTCT